CTTTCTTGGGAAGCATGAAAGTTTTTATGTATCTTACAGATTCTGGCAGGAGAGAAATGCCTATAATATTTATTAAGGGCTAATCCAACATCCACATTATTTCCCCTCCATTTATCATTATCATCATTATCATCATCATCATCATCGTCTTCACCACTAACACCATTGTTATCCTTCATATTTGTAGAGCATGTTACATATATCAAAGCACACTTAAATATTTTCAGCAAAACAGATGTAGGAGTTATAACCACTATTTATTATTATAACATTGATTAATACAGTACTTATCAAACTTTATACACGCATCACCTGGAAAATTTGTTTAAATGTAGTTTCTGATTATTAGAGCTGGATAGGGCCCCAAATCTGCATTTTTAACAAGCTTCTGTGCCATGCCAATACTGTTGGTCTGTGGCTCACACTTTAGCGCAAGAGAGTAACATTTATTGAGTGTTTGCCAGGTACCAAGTGCTCTTAACTGTATGGTTACCTTATAAAGAAGAGCAAGTAGAAAACATGGCACTTGTTGAAGAAATTAGCCTTAAGTAGAACCCAATTCTTCTGACCTCTAGATTACTATTTCTTCTACAATACCACTCTCCTTGGCATATTAGAAGCAATTCTCTACTCTGGGAAAGTAGGCAGTCATTAATTTATGATATTCTTATAAGTGAACAACATTTATCTAAAAGTATATTTTTCAAGCTTCCTTACTAAATAAAAGGCTAAAAAGCAATTTTCTTCAACATTACCATTAATGTTATAACCTCTAGTTATATAGAAACCAAATGGACAACACAATTTTTCATGCTTTCATTTCTTTGCCCATCTGTTAAAACTTAATATATTTAGCTAAACTATACATTCATGGTCCAATGCATTTTATCCTTGCAGATTCTGTGACATTGAAATTCTACCCTCTTGCTTTAGTGGAAGGCCTCATTTTCTATTCCTGGGGCTAGCAGCATTCCATTTGACATTTGATGCCCATGAGATTTTTTTTAATAGAATCTAGGTTATGAGATTGAGTCTCTTGCCACATATTTTTAGAATGGAAACCTGTGTTACTTTTCCCAGAGGTGTTTTACATTATGCTTTTCTTGAAATGGTTTTGATTATTTAAAAAGAAGCCGCCAATGATAAAACCATTTGTGTAATAATCACCATTGACTAGAGAGCTCTTTATTTGTTTTGAAGAGAATTTGTTCAGAGGAAAGCTACAGCAATCCTCTCTTCTACCCCTAACTCAAAGCAAAAGACTTCGTTAATGTTACAATGATAAAGTGGGGAAAATTTCTCCTACTATAAATTTTAAAGTAACTAGACGCTCTTTTGAAAAAGATAAATAATGAAATGTGCTTAAAATGACTAGTACATATGACTGGATGCAAGGGCTTTAGTACAAACACAATACAATGAAAGTTCCCTGTCTAATCATCTTGATAAAGGTATACATTCAGTTATTTTATCTTCTAAAATAGATAATACATAATCAACATAAATAATTACTAAAAGTGAACTCTACTAAATTTAATCACAAAGGAAAATTAAAGGCAAGATATTTGGTGTTTCAGAAACTGATATATGTCCTAATGCAATTGTTACTTGAACTTTATACTTAGCATCAACTTGTAATCGCTGAAAGATATTTGTTTTATATTTTATATGTTGGCCAAATTGACTCATTTGACATGAAATTTTATTAAATTTAAAATTAACTATATCTGATATAATATAAAAGATAAAAATTTAATGTATACTCATTATAACAGAATCAATTGAAATTACATCTCATAACAGTAATCTTTTCTTCATTCCAGAGTTTCTTTCACTGTCTAGTAACTGACACATTATGATGCACACAAAAAAATGCCTATGGGGAAAAAAGTGAATTAATGTTAATCGACTAAACCAAATAAAATAATAATAATGAAAAGAAAAAATATAAAACTAACATTGGGCAGGTATTTTCTATATGCCAAGTACTGTGCTAAGCATAATAGTAAATATTATTTTGTTTAATCATCACAAAAATATTATGAGGTGGGCATTATTATTTTCCTGCAGAAAAATGTGATTTTGTAGAATAACCTCCCAAAATAACACGACCAGCAAATATTAGTGCTCATACTCACACTCAGAGCTTTGTGGCTTGAATTACGCAGCCATTATACTCTTTTCATCTATTAACTTTAGTTTAGAACTTGCTCTAGTGCCACAACAAAAGTCACCTTTTTAGTATAATATAGATACTACATACAGACATTTGAATTTAAATTTTATAGCCAGAAGGTAAGAGTGCTTGGTTTTGCAATTAAATATTCGCATGATTTAAATTCTTTCCTTTTCCAAAGATGCTAGGTAAAACGTTAGCCTTTATTCAGTTTGTTCAGCATCACAACCCCTATCACCACCACCACATAACCATCATCTTCCTTGTCTTATAAGGCATAGTAGTTACTAAGGCCTTTCTCTGTTTTAAGTATTGAGCTAAGTTATGCAACTCTACAGATTTATCTAAGTCATTGCTTACTGGTCACCAATCATTCTTTTTTTTTTTTTTTTGGTCCATTAGTGGCCAGGCTTGGTATATTTGTTATTTGAAAAGCTATTAACGTGTGAGGTAATATTACAGATGTGCTTTAAAGCAATGTTATTGCTTTATAAAAAGGCGATAGTTACACAAAAAATTGAAAGTAAAACACCATTTTTCTGTTAGCATTTTCCTAAGAAGTGATACTGGGGAAGAGGTTTATCTGTCTTAAATTTTAATGGGCTGATTCTGTTAAGGAAATAAAATGGAGAATCATGCAGTTTCTTCTCAGTTTGCCAAACTGATTTTCTAATGAGTCTATGATAGAGTTGATATTGAGTTTTGGCATGCAAAAGCTGTTTTAAATTGGTAAATGAAGAAGCAAAGAAATACACAATATTGATGCATCCTACATGTGAAATTATCTTTCTTATAGCACTCACATTATTATTTTTCTTCAGAATGAATTTGATTTTCCAAATTAGTACTCAGAATATGTACAGTAAGTTGGTAAAAGAACCATTATTATCAGGTATTACCTTTTATAGTTGGTTATTAGCAGCACATTGATACAATTTAGTCAGTTAACTAATAGTTTTTAGATTTTGACACTCTTGTCATCAAGAAATGCATGACATTGTATCCAAAGCTCTTGATGCTACAGCCACTGCTTCACACAGCTTTTACTTAGGATGAGAGCATTAGCTTTAAAAGTCCTCCTCTCCTCAGTTTTTATATACTTTTTTCTCCCACTCAAAACTCCCTTTTGTTATTTTGTACCATGGATGTGTTAAAAAAAAAATCTGAATCAGAAAAAAATTGATGATCTAGACAGGAAGATCCATTTTCATTTGTTTATTTCTGTTTTGTAATATGTGTTATTGTTCTCTGTATGAAATTGATGACTGTGTGATATTACAGCCCTTAGGTTGCTATGTGCTGGAATTTATTTAATATGCTAAACCTTATGAAGTTGATATCATTCTAGCCACAGTCAACTTGTAGTACATTTGAAACTGGAGGTAGTAAATATTTTCATTTTAAACCCTTTTAATTAAAAGTAATTAAGAATTCCCTAACTAGGACTTTGTGACAATTTACTAATGGTCATCTGAATCTAAAATTTGTGTTATCAGTAATAGAAATATCTTGCAATTCAGATTTTCCATAATTAGTTGTGGGATTTAAAATTTAATGGAGGCATTAGAATTCTGGTAGGATTCAAATTTATTTTAAAAGCTTTAAAATGTCATTTTATAACCAAATAATAATACATTTGGATGTCTCCCTAAAACCAAATGAAATCACATACTTTTACAATCAGGTAAAAGTGTTTATTCTATTTACTACACATACCCAGCAAATTCCACTGTGCTGTCACTGGATCAAATATTGCCACTATCATAATCTGTAGAAAGAAGGAATTAGAATATTTAAGTTAAGTGAATAGACTAATGCTGGCAAGTTAAATTATTACAGAATTCTGTGTTTAAGAATAAAGGCAATATTCTCTTTTTCTTAAAGTCTATCAATAAACAATCAATAAACTAATATTTTCTTTTAGAATATTATTTATCAGTGTAAGACTGTTCTCAGTGCAAATTTTTTCCAATCTCTCTTATCTTTATTCAGTGCTGAATAAAAGAATATTGTAAAAATCCCCACATTTTGCTTAAAAAAGAGAATAGTACGCTCTTTTACATGCTCTTCTTGTAGGCTTGACAAAAACAAGTATGATTTGTCAACGTTACTGAATGTCTATCAATAAAGCAAATGCACTAATTAATCACATTATAATAGAAATATCAATTCAAAGTATAACCTTCTGATTTGCTTTTGTGACGGGCAAAACTGGCTGATGGTGCGTTGGTACATATTTACAAAATTCAGTCAGTTGAAACTGTTTCTTTCTAAAGTATTATTTAATCAGATTTGATTCGAAGGGCACATGAAGCAACAGGGTCTCACTTTGACATTCATCTTTGGAGGATAACAAAAGAATGTAGTATAAAATGTTTATTCTTATTTCATTTTTTTCCTGCTAAAACCACTGTTGGAGGTAGGCCCATAATATTAAAATGGCTAGCCCTTGCTCCATAGTTGTGTTTTGTGTTTTTAAATATCAATTATTGACAGATATCATAATTACAGCTACAAAAGTATCCAATATTGACTTACCAATATTAATTAATTGAAGAAAACATTTTTAGGGTGAGATTTACCTGGGGTGAGAGTTCCTGAGACGAATAGCTTTCAAGAGGAAGCATAGGCAGAGTTTTGAGAACGAATTTAAACTTTTAGTAGAGCTAGGTGAATTGAGGAATGCGATGGGTTCTATGACTGTCAGAATGAAGACTAGATCCTTTCCTGGGAGCATGAGGGATGAGGGTCACTGGCAAGCCAGTATTGTTGAGCTGCTTATTCCTTCTGTTGTAAAGGTGTTTGCCTCTGTCTTGTCTTTCAGTCCTCCACAAGCAACCCAGAGAAGTGTGTCTCTGTCTGCTAGAGCTTGGCCGGATTGCAGCCAGGTAGGTCAAACCACTGCAACTATGTCACGACATAGACGATTTCAGCATCCAAGCAACACAGAAGCTTGCTGGCTTTTCATTGCTAATGTTTAACCTGGATGTTGAGAAACTACTCATTCGCGAATGATAGTATGAACTTCTTTAGGGCAGCAGTTGACCAAACTAAAAGTGTGCCACCAATATTCTTAACCTCAAGATCTTGTTGTCAAAGCTACTATGTCTAAGCATTTGCTAATATCGTTTAATAAAACACATTTTCCCTCCAAAACTTTCCTGGGGGTGGGGGAGGACATTGTACATGCAGTTTTATATGACAGTTCTCCTTAGTGGAAGTCTATTCCCATATTCTGTCTATCTTCCTCCTCCTTAACCTCCTAGCTTCCTGTTTACTTTTTAATAATTTTCAGCCTCCCTTTTTATTCCTTTTTTTACTTTCCCTCATTCAACATTTTGCTCTTTTCGTTTCCACTTCTGACTGGGATGATAGTTTTAAAATTATCTATGTTTTTATTAGAAAAAGATATAGAATGTTATCCTTATGTAGAAGCCTCTTTGAAACCTGTTTTTTCCTGTAGGAAGGCAAAAGAAGAATTAATTGCAGAAATCATAGCTAAATAAGCAGAGGAAGGAACTCTGTTAGCTAAACCTACTTGCTTTGGTTTCATGTTTTCCCATTTATTATATTGCATATACCATCAGACAGGGCTTCTGGCCAGTCCGTGAAGCCCAAAGAACAGGAAATGAAGATACAAACGTTTGAAGAAGTCTTGATGCAAATTAAAAATTTAAGATTAATTAGAAAATGGTTTCTTATCCACATCTCGGTATACTTTTAGGGTTGAGATCAGATGAACAAGTAAGATAAAGTGAGAACTAACACTGAATGAATATTCTCAAATAATTTATTAATAAAATCAAGAAAAAAATGGGTGAGCACACCAGCAATTTACAACATGGCTAGAAAACTTGCTGCCAATTAATAGACTTTTCTTTGATCCAATAGAAAATTAACCTGTAATCAGAATGTGTAACCTCAAGTTCTTTATATCATCATATCAATACAATCTTCGTGAATTGTGCATCGGGTATAAATTTTATTTTGCCACAATAATTGGGTGTGCAAAATATTGCTTTAATGTTTTTCAATTCAAATTGAATATTTTTGAGTCTTACCTCAACAGGGAGTAAAAAAACAATTTGAGACATGTGAAGATTTTTCTATTTACCTCACACTCTTCCCAGTTAATTGTGGGAAGGCCTCTGGGGGAGAACTCTCTAGTCTTGGTGCTCTCAGATATCCACTGCGCAGGCAGAGTTCAAACTTGTGGCATCTGGCTGTTTCTTAGGACTTCATTCTCTATCATTGCTGCCACATACTTGGGTTCTGTGAAGGAACAGGATAAAGATACACCTCTTGCTTCTAGGACCCCGCCACACCTACTCCCCCACCAAACCTTGGGGCTTCTGGCCTGGAAGACAAATGGCCTTGAGTCAAGTGAAAACCAAGGACTTAGCATCTATCGCTTAAGAAAGGGGAAGTTGGCCGGACGCCAGGGCTCACGCCTGTAATCCCAGCACTTTGGGAGGCCGAGGCGGGAGGATCACGAGGTCAGAAAATCGAGACCATCTTGACTAACAGGATTAAACTGCCTCTACTAAAAATACAAAAAACTAGCCGGGCGAGGTGGTGGGCGCCTGTAGTCCCAGCTACTCGGGAGGCTGAGGCAGGAGAATGGCGTGAGCCCGGAGGCGGAGCTTGCAGTGAGCGGAGATCCGGCCACTGCACTCCAGCCTGGGCCACAGAGCGAGACTCCACCTCAAAAACAAACAAACAAAAAGAAATATAGATTGTCTAGAGTTCCTACTTAAAGAGAGAATAGAGAAAAAAAAAAAACTTTTTTGTTACTTAAATATTCTAAATATTTCATCAGATAAGCATCTTGCTTCCGAAAGTTGTGATACAGAAGTAAACAGACGGGGTTATTCTATCTCTAGAATTAGGTGGGATTTATAAATTTTCCTCCAATTTAAGTTTATAGCATTTGCCTTATTTCTGGACTTTATTTTATATATCGTTATTATGTATTATATTACATGAGCACTCTGATTAGGGAGCCCGCTGAATAAACATTTTAATCATAGGCAAGCCATCAAAGAGCAAGACAAGCTGCCCAATTATAAAATGCCTTTAAGGATCACCTTTCCTCCAGCTCTGAGTCTGGCATAAATTGTCCCTTGTTACAGGATGTACAACAAATTAAAATCTTGGTAAATGAAAGTGAATTATAATGGCCTTGTCATTTTCAAGGTGATACATTATATGAAGGGTTCCTCCCACCCAAATATTTTAAAATTGTGATTTGGGGTTGTTCCATTTCTGACCGTGCTTCATTACCATGCAACCTGATAAAAGCAGTGATTATTCACTTTACCAAAAAATAAATTATGGATTTTACAAAAGAAGATCCACAAGGATTAAGATACCCCTTACATTAAAATATTTAATTTGCAGATTTGGTCTTTTATCTTCTTTACTCATTTGGATGGTGTGAAGTATTGTGTGCTTCCAGCAATAAAAATATCCTAATGAGTTATTCATGGTGCTACTGTTGTTTCAGCGTGTGACGTGATGGTAAACAGTTGAATACCAGTAGGATAGATTGAACATTTAAGTAAGAATGTCTAGGTTTCTCTCTGGATACATTTAAAGTTTTTTTCATTTTGATGCAAATTCAAATGTGTTTTACAAACAACAACCCAATGAACCCAGATCTTACTGTTTTACCCCTGTGTTGAAGCATAATTAGTTGAAAGAAAAAAGGGAAATTTCTCTTAATCTAATTTTACTCCTAAATTTTGCCTTCCATACATTAAACTTACATCTAAATGCTTAAATTTGTGCTTCTCACAAACCCGTAAAGGATTATACAAATTAATAACTTAAAGCAGTTTTAGGCAGAACTAGAACTGATTTTGGGAGCACTCTCAATAATCACAACAGTAATTTGCACACAGAGCAGATGAGTTTAAACCTTAATGAAGTCTCCAGTACAATATTGTGAGTTTCGTGTTTTTCATCATTGAAAGACGATGTATTCTTATATTTGATTCGAAACACTTTTCCAGATTACATAAACATAATTTTAAAACCACAAACATCACTTTGGAAATGATTCCCAGTGAGTTTCTGATTCTCTGCCATGTTTTCCTCTCTGGGGACACTTAGTGAAGCTCCTTTGCAAGCTGTGGGCTTCTCTGAGTTCTGAGATGGCTGAATGAGACCACTTATTTTTGTTCTCATGGGTAAAACTTCCTTTATTTTCAACTAAATAGAGCTATCATCACTGGAGAGTGAAATCCCTCTGCTAATATTTCAGAAAAATATCAGTTTCTGAATATAAAATATGTGTTTGACTTGTGAAAAGTAAAACTCTGTATAAAAGCAAGTTAATAAAACCTCAAAGATATTTTTAATGACAGTGCTTTGATATTCATTACTGAAAACAAAGTTAGTATAAATTCAACATTTTTTGACTGTAGAATTAAAATGATCCTTATAATAGAAGTAAAAAACAACTTTTGATATTTTTGTTTGGGGTCATAATCAATAATCAGTGGTAGAGTGGAGTTTTTTATGATTTTTATTTTTTAGTATTTCCTTGATTTGGAGCAAAATTTATGACCATTTAAAAGAAATATACTTTCTGAACATTTTCTTTAATCTCTCATTTTAATTCATGGTCTTATGAAAGGAAAAGTTACTTAAAAGAAAAAAATGTTCTTATACAAAGATGATTAACTGATCCATCCTATTTAAAGCACTTGAGCTAACTGCTGAGAACATCATATACTTTAACATGGTTGAAATTTCCTTCCAAATCTAAATCAATCTTTAAATTGCTTTAAAACAGAAGATAAATGAGGAAAAAATTATCTTGCAAGAATCTATAAACTGTCTGTTATATGCATTTAAAAGGGCAGTTGCTTGCACTAGGCTGTAAAATTTGTTCCTCTAACCCTAGTAAAATAGGATCCAGATGTCTTTTGTTTGAAAAATCTAGACTACTAAATAGTTTGAGTAAATTTTCTAGTTCAGGTCTCAGTTTGGGGACTTAGTTATTTTTACCTAGAGCTCGAAAATTGTGTCAAGTGCCAGAAAAATGAGAAATCCATTCCTAAAACCTCATCATAAAGTCATTAACCATAAGACCTGTTCCCTATCACTTAAAAAAAAAAAAAAAAAAGAGACAAGGGTATGTTGCCTTTGAGTATTCACCCTACTTTCATATCACTGGGGTATAAAGGTATGAGGATATGATTTTAGTAGATTCGACCTTCTTGGTCTCTTTGGTGTGACCCTTAATTTGTTGGAGAACAACAGCTACTCCATTCTAAAACTCTGAAATCTTTGTAGTTGGAAGGGAGTGGAAAATACTATAAATGTGTAAAAACCTCATAGACAAAATAAAAATGTGGAGTGGTATAGAGTTCATGGAAACCAGAATGAAGCAGCCTTTTGGAGAACAGAAAAAAGATCTATTTGATGACTAAGTTGGCTTGCAGGTGCAAGCCCCCAACCCAAAGGGAATTTTGTGATTTACAATCTGTTGACATCTCCAGACAGACAGGAAGCCAATGAATTGTGTTTAAGTATGCATTTCAGGACTGGCTGACTGTACCTTAGGCAGTTTGAAGTATTCAAAAGCCAATATAAGCAGAGATTTGGGACTTAGTGTTGATTTTTTATGTTCAGTGGCATAACTAATTTTCAGCATTCCCAGATAAAGAAAAATCTCCAGAGAAAGGTTTTCCATGTGTGACTTTGTTACCAATTTTATTCAAACCTAGTCTACTTTGTTTATATTGGACATAGAGCCAAGTCTGTTGTTACTCTAACATATTTATTATTATTTCACTTTGTAAAAAAATTTAAAAATTATGCAATCTTTCCCTGAAAGGGGGCATGAATCCACCTACAATTACAAATGAAATCATATTTT